TCGCTTCTGGGAAGCCGTGTTCGGCCCGGAGCCCCGTCCCTTCCCTTCCCTTCCCTTCCCTTCCCTTCCCGGCTTCCTTCCTTGCTTTGTTTTTCGGCCTTTCCGCCTCTCTTTCCAAGGCAGAAGGCTGTTCCTGATGGAAAGTAATCAGGATGTGGGGGGGGGGGGGGGAGAGAGACCGGGGGGGGAATTTTGCTTGGAACGGTGCCCCCTTCCTCGCGGGCGGCGGGGGTCCTTCTCCAATGTGTAGTGGGATTTCTGTGTTTGTGAGAAGCCGTTTTTAAGGATAATGCTGGATTCGTGCGCATTCCTTTTTCTTCTCCTCTGGGAAGTGGGGAGACAGGATGCAGAAGGCAGTGTTTCTGGGCCGTCAGCCTGGGGGGGTCCCCGACAGCTGCCCCCCTCTCCATAGCAGTCCAAGGGTGCTCCCCCGGTGGAGGACAAGGCCTGTCTCGCAGCCCAGCTGGACGCGCTGAGCGCTGTGGGACGTCTTCCTGCCCGAGCGGGCCCAGGATGAAGCGCCCGCAGAAGCTGCGGATTTCTGCCAACATCACCGCTCTGCCGAGAAGAGCGTTGGCGTGGCAGTCGGGGCTGGGGCCGGAGGAGCCCCGGAGCCACATCCTGGGGGACATCCCCCTTCTGGAGCAGCGTTAAAGAGCATTCCTCGGGATTTCCCACTGGGGGGGCCTAAGGGGGGCCGAGAAGCGCCACCAAGCCTTGCCGTGTGGTTGGGTTCCCCCACGTCCTCTCAGTGGCCGTGATCGAGGCTTTAGGGGGAGCCCCGAGGCAGGGGAGGATCTGCTGCCAGAGGTTCCTTGGGGTTCCTTGCCCTGTAGGGCCACCTCTGCCCCAGGATGTGGCCGACTCGGCTTGTTTGCAACTCAGCCCGGCCGTTCTCGGCCGTGTGGCCCCTGGGCTGCGTGGAGGGGCAGTCGGAAGCCGCTCGGCCAGCGCCGGGCGCAGAGGGCTCCGTTCTGCGGTTTTACATAAGCTGTGCAAACGGGAGCCGTCTGAGCCGCGCGACCTGGCAGCCTGGCTGATCGCACGGGCCGGCGCATGGGGTGGTGCGTCCATGCCAGGAATATCCTCAGAGCTGAGTAACAGCTGTGCAAGGGAGACGGGCCGATTCCGTGCAAATCCTGCTGGCTCCGTTCACGGCGCCCCTGCCCGGCGCCCGCCAGCCTGCGCCAAGGGGAGCTGCCAAGCGGAACAGCCCTGGTCTCCGACTGGGCACGGCTTTGCCTCCACCGATTGATCCTCGCCGCCCGTCCGGCAAGGCCGGGTGCTCGCAGTTCATTGTCTGCAACGACAGCAGAGGCTGTTCTGAAAGCTCACCGTTTCTTTGTTTGTTTGTTTGTTTGTCTGTCTATTGATTCATTTCACAAGCAAACTGGGATTATTTGGGCTGCCTGAGCCAGTTCCCCGCCTCCCAAACTCGCAGCTTTATAAATGTCAAATCAGGCTCTGAGTGACAAATATTTGAGTTCACAGGAAGGTAAACAGGCGCATCCTCGCTTTCCGTCTTGTCTTTTTGGTGCTTCTCTTCCCCGCCCACTTTGATTTGTGTGCTCTGAGCACGAGGCAGAAACACACGTGTGTGACTAAAACAGGCCCCTCGGAACACCTCGTTTTTAGACAAAGAGCCGAATCACAGGAACTGCGTGGCAGGATCCTCCTGGGCTTGACCACGTCGGAGGAAGAACTGTCTAGGTGTCCTCTAGGTGCACCTTTAAAACCCCCGCCTGCACGTAGAAGGCTAGCGTATCGGGGTCAGCAAGACGTCCCTGTTCTTGGCGTGTGGTCTTGTTGAGGCCTTGGGGGTGGCTCTCCCCAAAACGCATGAGCCGCAGAGGGCCGGATGCCCTCTGGGGAGCGAGGACCGGCTTCGGCCGGGAGCGCCTGCAGTCGGACCCGTTCTGAGCTGGCGTCCCGCTGCAGCGGCCCGGCCGCTCCTCCCGCTCATCCTTGTGACTTGGAGAGCGGATCTTTGGCGATCGCTTTCCCTGGTGCCGCGATGTCCCTCGTGGACGGCCATGGCCAATGGGAAGTGCTTTGCAGGGGCAGCAGGGCGTAGTGGTTTGGGTGCTGGACTGGCCCGGGTTCAGACCAGCACTCAAGCCATGAAGGTCAGGGGTCAGTCCCAGGTCGGTAACTCACCTGGCCAGGCCCACCTCACAGGGTTGTTGTGACTCGAAAGCGCAGTGTGGGTTAAGGGGTTAAGAACCACGTGAGCTCCTGGGGGGCTTTGGCAAAGGGCAGGTTACAGATTTTGTAAGCTGGAAAGTCAAATGCCTGCATGGGGAGAATCGGATGTTTGGCAGAGGAGGTGCAGCCTCGGGGGCAAAATTTTCGGCCCACTCCATCCAGCCTGTCCCCCTTTAATATTAGTTCTCCCAGCTGGCACCCTCTGGAGGTGGGATTGCAATGCCCAGCATCCCTGGGTGCATTGCAGCTGCCTCCTGACGAAAGGAGGCAACATCTGTAGCAGCCTTGGGAACCCCAGTTTCGGGGCAAGCTGGTGCTGAGCCGGACCCGGGAATGGGTTCGGCGTAGTCCGGACTGAAGCCTCGGGTGGAGACGCTGCCAAGTCCTCTTGATCTTGCTGGGCGACGTCCCCCGTCCCAGACTCTTGCTCCCCCCTTTTGTAATAGGGCCATGATAATACTGGTCTACCTTACTGGGCTGTTGTGAATAACACAGGATTCGAAGCACTCCATCTCAAAGGGATCGTGCTGCGTTTCGGGTGGCTTGCTGGCATGTGAGACCATTCTGGGCTGGGTTTACCTGGGCGAAGCACAAGTTCCGGTGAAAAAGGAAACAGGACAATAGTTTGGACATCAAGAGCCGCCAAACCTGCTTTTCAGCAGAGT